CATGTATATCCACAAGACTGAAGTCCAGAGTAGAATAAGATATATTCCATGCTTGTATCCAAATGGATTCTGCTGTCAAGTATAACTAAAATGAATAAATGAATGAATAGAATTTTTTAAATGCACTAAACTTTACAATTGATGATTTGCATAATAGGAATTAAAACCTAAGGTTTTTGACTGTGTTCAATTGTTATATTATACCAACACTAAAAGTTGCATTTGTGATTTTTATTTTTTGGTATCCTTTGAGAGTCATGAGAAAAGATATTATGTATGTGTATAAGCAAGCAGAGATAAATACACAGGCAGAGGAACAGAGCTATTTTTTTTAATTTTCTAAAAGGAAACTAGAGTTTGCTTTCCTAAAAACTGACAGTTATTTTATAACATGTTTTAAAGAACAAACAAATTGAATTCATATGGTTTATAACCCTGTGTTTGTGTTTTTCTTTCTTTCTTTTTTTCTAAGTAGGAGTCAGGCTGTCTTGATACTGTTACCCTGATATCAAAATGTACTTATTTTAGTCAGAATTGTATTGTATTCCACATCATTTGTCATAGTTCAAAAATGTGCAGTTCAATGTCACCAGAGAATTCATAAAGTCCAATCTCTTTATTTTACATATTAAAAAGAAAGTGACCAAAATTTGCTATGTGCTTTGTATAAATATATCACAGTGAGTCTCATTTGTGTGTGCAATTATAATGCACCAATATGAAAAGAAAAGAAAATGGGAGGAGGGAAAAGTAAAACTAGAGGAAAGGGATCACAGGAGGGAGGAGAAGGGAGGAGGGAGGAGAAGGGAGGAGGGAGGAGAAGGGAGGAGGGGCGGAGTCCTGGGAATGAGAGGGAGCAAATCGTGTTAATGTCATCTATGAATGTGTCACAAAGAGCCCACCCTTATGTATGATTTTAATGCATTAATAAAAACATAATTAAAAAAAATGTTGAGGTCAGAGCAGGTATATGACCCATTCTGCCAGAGCTGGTTAGTGGCAGAGCCTAACAAGAAACTTAGGCCTCCTGTCAATGTGGGAAATGAACATTCGGTTCAGGCAAACTGTCCTGAACAGGCCTGGGGAAGGGATTCTGTAACAACGATATCTACAGCAGTTTCTTTCCCATCTTGGTCTGCATCCCCATGTTCCCAATTAGCAGTAATTGAAGGAGCCTCTCCAAGGCTCCCCACTCCTCATGTACCGGGTGGTCTCCAAAGAGAAAATGCTGATAATTACTGAAGTTGAGGCTGTGCGTCATTAGCAGGCACCAGGTTCCTCCTGGGAATCGTTCCCTGGCCTCTCTGGCTTCCCCAGGCACTTACTACTTGTTTGCCTTCTCATTAGCAAACTTGTTAGCACTTCACTCGGTTCCCCTGAGTTGCTCAGAAGAAAAGTTTTGTGGGAGGATTTCCTCACCTGGGTAGGTCTGGCTCTCCTGCTTCCTCCTGAGACACGAGGCATCAGATCTTCCAAACAGGCTATTTGTGACAGTGACAGTTCAGTAACGGGGCCGATGCTTCTCTTCATGACTCAAAGGAAATAGAAATGAGCATCTGAGCTGGCTAGGGATATGGAAGTTCAATGCAACTGCCTGAGTTTAACTGGGAAGGAGAAAACTGTGTTTTGGACACAGTGCTCACAGATTTGCAGGCTCATTGCAAGCTCTTGGACCTTTGAGCAGAGGTGACCTTGCCTTCTAGGTTCTCCTCCCCAGGAATAGAATTTCTACACACTCTCTATATTATTACAGTTGTTTAGTGCTCACCAAGAACTCTCATATTTTAGTGATATCTCTCCCCTGAGGCAAGAAAGGAAAAGGTACATGTTATTGTTCCTCCTCGTTCAAATAGAAGCCTGCGGCTTTAGAATTACCTAGAACAGAGACTGACCGCCCTGATAGGGGACTTTTTAGCACTTCTCAGTTGAGATCATGCAAAATGACTTTCAAGTTTGTCCAGTCTTTCACACCATTCAAACCAATCATCAGTAATGGAAGGCAACATCTATCTAGTCTCCATGAACAACTTTACATTCCAGCAGTAATACCACTTATTGAGTGCCCACTAAAGTTGGAATATGAATGAGGAAGCTGAGACCAGGCAATGCGACATGTCTAGTATCACAGAGAAAACCATGGCCCTACTGCTCAAGCCCAGATGACGGCAGTGGGAAGAAGACTCTACACAAGGAATATAGAGAAGGTAGAAAGTGGGTGCATAATAGTGATAGCTCAGAGTGAAGAAGGTACATAAAGCACAGTAAACGGGAGGCTCAGAGACACTATGCTCAGCAAATGTCAGAATTCCATCGTCACCCTGGTGTTACCTTCCCCATGTGTCCAGATCTACTAAAGAAACTCTCCATCCTCAGTTTGCTGAAGTACTGAGTTTCTGAATCAAATGTGGTAAAAACAACACCCAGTCTAGCACGGGGTCTCAGACCATGTCCCTATTTCTCCATTCTCTGCCCCTTGCCTCTAGAAAGAATTGCAAAGTTTTGATTTCTGAACCCATCCTCAGTTCCTGGAACTGAGCCTGTCTGCCTAAGGCCCTCGTTGTGTTGAGTCTTTCCATGGGGCACTCGATTGCATTATCCTGTCAGAAGGAAGCCATATCTGTGTCTGCCACAGGAGGCTGACCTCCTGCTTGCTTTATTCCTTCACACTGGTTCATCTTTACCACATAACCCAGCAAGAAGCAGACCCAACTTTCTTTCAGAAAGATCAAAACTACTGTGGAAATCATCTGATCCTATATTTTCTGAGAAACAAACAACAGCCTTAACAGAATAATATGTATAGTAGATAAGTACAAGGCAGAAAATATATATAGAGGGCTGGGGATGTGGCTCAAGCGGTAGCACGCTCGCCTGGCATGCGTGCGGCCCGGTTCGATCCTCAGCACCACATACAAACAAAGATGTTGTGTCCGCTGAAAAAACTAAAAAAAAAAAAAAGAAAAAAAGAAAATACAAATAGAAAGTTTAAACGGGGACTTAAACCCTTAGCAATTTCTGTGTCCTCTTTGCTTTCCCGGCTCCCCCCATCAATTCTCTACTGAGATAATTTAATACAACTCTCTACTTTTCTGAAGAGTAAACTGAGGATCCGGGGGATAACATGATCTGCCAAAAGATGAGCGAGCTAGCTCGTTAGTGGCCAAGACACACCAGAACATGGCAGAGACAGATCATTGTGTGAATCTTGACTAGTACTGATAAAAGTGTCTTTTAAAATTTTCATTTATTGGCTCAACAATCCATTTTTGCTGCCATGACATGCGACAAGGTCATTCAGGGTCATCCCAGTTGAATTTGGGTAGAATGAAATAATTACACAGACAGAAAGAAGATATCTTTTTATTAGGGTATGGTGACAACTCTCAACCTTAGGGGTCCATTGGAAAGAGAAAGAGCACACCCTGAACCCTGGTTTTATTGGGGGAGGTTGTTTGAAAGAACATTGCATCCATATAAGGCAGAGGGGTAATGTTACAAGGGGCAGCCCACTCCCATTGGGTACCGCCCACTCCCATTGGGTACTGCCCACTCCCATTGGGTACCGCCCACTCCCAAAGCTATGCTCCTCTGTGGAGCAGAGATGGGGATCCACCTGCTTCGAGGTCAGGAAAGCCAGTCTCTACATTTCCATTGCTCAAAGCTAGGGGGCGCTCAGCTCCCGACATTTGCTTTTTCTATTTCTGGCTTGTGCCAATGATATTCAGCTCCTTTAATGTCCTTATAATTCTTTATGCCTTTACAATCTTTATGCCTATGTATCTTTCTATTTTTGTGCCACCTTTATATCATTTTGACCTTGATCCTTTTTTATAGAGACGATCATCTAAAACTGCACACAATGACTATTTCTGGTCTTGCTGTAGAGACGTGGATTGAACCACAAATCCCTTCCAGATGGCGAGATGACCTTTGCAAGACTTTTTAAGTCTCATTCCATGCCCACAACATGAGTAGCCGGCCATGGATGACTGCCCACACTCCTCCATCTCAGGGACTCTTGGTCTAAGTTTGCAACACTTCTTCAAGAGCAGGACCTGAACTAGGCTCAGATAGGTAAGATCTGAATCCAAACAGACCTCCTGCTTGCTTTCTTCCTTCACACTGGTTCAGCTTTACCGCATAACCTAGCAAGAAGCAGACCCAACTTTCTTTCAAAAAGATCAAAACTACCCTGGACATCATCTGATCCTATATTGTTGGATCCAAATCCAAGTTGTGTATGATTCTGAGCAAAATCTTAAATTCTCTTTCTTATATTTAAAAAGGTTATCAGGAACTCCATGGTCCTATAAAAATGAAAGGAAACAAGACGCAACAGTCCTGATTCTGTTCCTAACACCTCCCACAGCTCCTAAATAGTAGTAAGCTTTCTTACTCCTGGGGCAGGACAGCCTAATGGTTAGAAAAGAGACTTTGAAGTCTGTCTCCTTGGTTCAATCATTATCTCTATCACTTTCTTGCTATAAGGCCTTGAATTATGTGTTCCACATAAGATACACATTACTTGAAATTTTTACATTTAAATTTCTATAATAGAAATTCATGCCTTGTGAATTTTTGTCATCTGCAGGTCAGGAGAATTGATAATAATCCAAATAAAAAATCCCCTCTGTAGCCAGTTGTCTAAAATCACCCTGTGAGATCCTGTGTGTTTTTCCCTGACTTTGTGAAATTGATATTATCCCTTAATATATAGATTTTGGACCCCCTATTCGCCTCTTTCGGTCCTCCTACACTGCAGTTTGCTCGACCTGTCTTTAGGTGTGTGTGGTTGTGGGGACAACATAATAGTACTTGACAGCACATGTTCTGAGGACAAGCCAAAGAAAGCACTGGCAAGAGTTTGAGTCACATAAATCAGTACCGTGGACTGTGGACTGTGGACTATGTGCTGAGCTTGCAGAATTTCACAGTCCTTCTGCAGAGACACAAGGACTCCGAACAGCTCAAGGTAACATGTATATATGGTTTAGATCTGAGGTGTCTCATGTGTGAAGATATTGGTCCTAAAGCAGCACTGTTCAGAGATGGAGCTTTGGGGGAGGTGAGGGGATCACAAGGGCTCTGACCTCCTCAGTGGGCTATCTATTGATAACTGAGGGAACTACTTGTAGCTGACGCCAACTATGGGTAGTGGGCCATGGTGGGAGGAAGTAGGTCTCTGGTGGTGTAACCTGGAAAGATATTTCTTTCCCCCAATCGCTTCCTCTTTCTTTTTCACTCTCTGCTTTCTGGTTTCTATGATCTGACCAGCTTTCTTCCTCCCCTCCCTTCACCATGATGTTCTGCCTCACTCAGTCCCCAACAATGGAACCTGTCAACCATCAACAGAAACTTCTGAATCCATGATCTAAAGTGAATTTTCCACCTGTAAGTTGTTTTTATCAGGCATTTTTGCTTTGTTTTGTTTTGGGGTTTTTGATACTGGGAATTAAACCCAGGGGCACTTAACGACTGAGCTAAATCCCCAGTCTTTTTATGTATTTATTTTAAGACAGGGTCTCACTGAGTGGCTTATGGCCTCATTAAGTTTCTGAGGCTCACCTCAAACTTGTGATCCTCCTGCCTGGGACTCCCATACAGCTGGGCTTACAAGCATGTTTGACTGCATTCAGCTTTTCTCAGATGTGTGTCACAGCAGTGAAAAGCTAACAGCACAATATCCTCACCATTGATTCCCAGTACAACGTCCAGCGTATTTATCCATTTATGAATGAACAGAGTCCAGGATTACAGAGATAAACAGAGACAGAGTCTAGACAAACAGAGACTAAGCACCCTTCCTCTAACCCCACCAGAGGTCATTCCCTTTCTCACACTTCAGTTTGCCCAACACATCTCCTTTTTTTTCCCCTTTGTGCTCTTTTATTCCTGCAAACTTCTGAGCCCCCCCCCCCTTTTTTTTTTCCAAATCTTCCTCAGGACAGAGCTTCTCAACAAATGCAGATGTTAGGTGCCTGAACTACTCATCTCCCTGCCCCTCCCCCTTTGAGTGACTGTCCAGGGCCTGAGGAGGGAATGAAAAGCTCTGAGGCAGATTCCATTTGTAAGCGAGCAGCCTTTCTGCTCACCTCCGTGTGCCACACAAATGTCATCCTTTTTTTTTAATTTGTTATGATGAAAAGAAGTGGGAAGCAATGTATTAATATGGCATTGTGTGCCACGGACTGAATGTTTATGTCTCCCCCAAATCCATCTGTTGAAACCTAACCTCTCGGGGGATGACGTTTGGAGGTGGGTCCTTTGGAGGTGAGAAGGCTGTGAGGCTGAGCCATCATGAACAGAATTGGTGCTTCTACCAGGAGACTCCAGGGAGCTCCACTGCATGTGGTCACAGCAAGAAGATGGCCATCTGTGAATGAGAAAAGTCCTTGCTAGACACAGACGCTGGTGGCACCTTGATCTAGATTTAACAGCCTCCAGGAATAAATTTATACTGTTTATAAGGTATCCAGTCTGCGGTAGTCTGTCATAGAAGCCTGAATAGACTAAGATAGGATAGATGCCCCTGGTATAACTCTGTGACTCTTTCCTTCTTCCATGTTGATATCAGATTTATCACTCCTGAAAAAGAAAGATTGCATATGCATATATATGTATATCTATCTATCTATCTATCTATCTAGATAATTCTATATACAGACAGACACACCTTTACATCATAAACTCGGCAGAAGCATCAAAGTTATATTCTTGCATCTAGGATTTTCATATAGTTTGCCATCCAAGTACAACCTAAATATTTTTAAGGCTGAAAAAGGACCGTTCATAGTTATACTGGAACAATAGGCACTGATCAGAACTGTCTTCAGAAAACCACAAGTCTCTTATGGAAGGCGATAGGCCTTGTTGCAGAGAGGAGAAAAGTCATGTGAGAAATACAGCTGGTTTGCTTCACTCCCATGAACCCCATATCCTGCCCCAGAGGGACCCCTTAGGGAGAGCAAGTCATACTCGGTAACTCTAGGGAACATAAGACAAGGAACTTTTCAGAACGGAGCATTCCCAGGAGCTGAAATGTCAATAGCCAGGGATAAAAGGGATGGCAAGGATAATGCCACAGGTCCTGATGCCATCCAGTGTTCAGGCAATGGGCAGGAGGGTGCAGAAGAGATGACAGGAGCTGAAGAAGACTAGGAGGGTGCTTTGAACTGTCCTGGGTGAGCCTTGTTAGGGTGCGGGAGGGAAATTCAAAAGACATTGCTGTTGATGCTACCCTAAAGCCAATACTCACTCTTCAGTTACCCCAAATAGCATTAATTTGTCTGTGTTGTGCCTGGTGTGGTGGCAGGTCCTTAGGAAGCTGAGGCAGGAAGATTTTAAGTTCAAGAGCAGCCTGGGCAATTTAGGGGGCTGGAGATGTGTAGCACAGTGGCAGAGCACCCCAGAGTTCTATCCCTAGTACTGCCAGAAGAAGAAGGAGGAGGAGGAGGAGGAAGAGGAGGAAGAGGAGGAGGAGGAGGAGGAGGAGGAGAAGAAGAAGAAGAAGAAGAAGAAATCATCTATGTTGTAAGAGTTTTAAAAAGAACTGATTAAATCTTTTTGGTTTTGTTTTGGAGGAGAGGAAGCTGAGGTTAAGTGAGAAGTTCCTCAACTCAATGCTTATTGCTAGTGTCAGAAAGTTCATGCAGCCAATCTCCAGTTTCAGAGAAGGATCTTTCTTGTTTGGGGCTTCTAACTCATGTTTTTCTCTTTGAGAATTTCTGGTTCTTTGAGAGTCACCTTTTAGAAGGTGTAATGTGACTGCTGGGTGAATAATCATGAGTTACCATGGAGATGAGAGGTCAGGGATCATACTTCAGAGCTTCTGGAAATCTTTAATTTCCTTGATCTTCTCCCAGTCCTCACCAAAATAGTCTATACACTCAAGACAGGCTTCCTGAAAGAGGCCTCCACAGTCACTGTTAGCTGACTTTTCTCCCTTCACCCAGCCCAATTTTGCAGGTTCATTTATTGTTGGAACTATGGGAGGCATAATAGTAGAAGGTTCCTCTCTTTCTCTTCTTTTATTGCATAGTGATGTAGGGGAGAAATATAGTTGCTTAAATCTCTGGAGCCAAATAATACAACACAGAAAGGAGAAACAGGGATCAGGAGGCTTTGTGTCTATTTCCAACCCTGGCACATACAAACACTATGAAACTGGACAAGCATGTACCTCTGGGCTGCAGTTCCTCCATTGCAAAGTGATGACTTTACTGGATATTTTCCAAGTGCTTTCAAGTGCTCAAAATTGTCCCTGGCACTAGGAATATTTTCTGAAGACAGGAAGAAGGTAGATGTTACTTATTTTTCTGTCTTGACCCTTCATTCCTAGGAATCATGGATCATGTCAATCACAACTGGACCCAAACTTTCATCCTTGACGGTTTTACTACCACTGCGACACTACGACCTCTTGCTTTCTTGGGGACCCTATGCATTTACCTCCTCACCCTTGCAGGGAACTTGTTCATCATTGTCCTGGTTCTCACTGATTCTGGACTGTCCACACCCATGTACTTCTTCATCAGTGTCCTCTCTTTCCTGGAACTCTGGTATGTCAGCACCACGGTGCCCACACTGCTGCACACCTGGCTCCACGGGCGCTCACCCATCCCGTCGGTCGCCTGCTTCCTCCAGCTGTATGTCTTCCATTCCTTGGGCATGACTGAGTGTTACCTGTTGGGAGTCATGGCGCTGGACCGCTACCTAGCCATCTGCCGCCCACTGCACTACCAGGCACTCATGAGCAGACAGGTACAGCTGTGGCTAGCAGGGGCCACCTGGGTGGCTGGCTTCTCAGCTGCGCTTGTGCCAGCCAGCCTCACTGGCACTCTGCCCTACTGCCTGAAGGAGGTAGCCCATTACTTTTGTGACCTGGCACCGCTAATGCGGTTGGCATGTGTGGACACAAGCTGGCACGCTCGGGTCCATGGGGCAGTGATTGGTGTGGCCACTGGATGCAACTTTATGCTCATTATAGGACTCTATGGGGACATCCTGAGGGCTGTGCTGAGGCTGCCCTCCGCTGCCAGTCGTGCCAAGGCCTTCTCCACCTGCTCCTCCCACATGACTGTAGTGGCACTGTTCTATGCCTCGGCCTTCACAGTGTATGTGGGCTCCTCGGGGAGCCGTCTCGAGGGAACCGACAAGCTCATTGCTTTAGTTTACACCCTCCTTACTCCTTTCCTCAACCCCATCATCTACACACTGCGCAACAAAGAGGTGAAGGAGGCGGTGAGGAGGGTCACTGACAGGCTCAAGACTGTTTTGAGGGGACCCTGATGATCTCACCCGGCATAATCCAGATTCCGGGTAACTGGGCGAATCAGCTGTTTGGTTAATCAATCATCTGGTCTGAGTCAGTAAACGATAACATAATCAATCTGATTATTAGGTCAAAAAAATACTGCAAACTCCAAACTGATCTAAGGTGGCCCATGTAGGTAGAGAGGAGATAAGGTCTCTGATTTCTTCCCAATTGAATAGGGGAAGAAATGCCACAGGGAGGAAAAAAACATGGGGTCCTGGAGCAAATGTTGAAAGCTGAGTGATTGACTTAGAGGGTTGTGGAATTCTGAAAGAAAGAAGACCAACTGAAGCAGGGAGTCGCCAGTTTAGTCGAGACAAGAGTTCTAGAGGAGGATGAAAAGGGTCGAAGCCAATTTGGCCAAAAGGAGACTAAAATTACAACTTGTATGAAGGTTTAGATGTGCAGCAGTGAGCCAGGGGCAGAAGCCATTTAGCTGGTGGAGCCCAGTGATCCTGAGATGTCGAGTGACCAGGGTCCACTTCCTAGGGGACAGAATTATCTGGACAGATGGCTGGGAGCTAGAGATGATAACTACTGTGTTGTGGGACAAGGGTAAGGAACTGAAGAATGTTGTCAGGGTTCTCTTTCACAATCAGGGAGTTCACATTAAAACAGGACTTGGAGCCATATTTTAAGATCAGCAGTGAACCAACAAAAAGCTTTATGAGTCTTACCTGTGAATAAAAAGCAGAGATAAGGACCCAATTCTCAGATCACACACTACTTTTTTATTTCCCCAGTTTCTCCAGCTTTCCTCTACTGAGCAGAGTTTTGGAATCACCGATTAAATTCAACCTTCATACTTTAATAATGTGTGAATTTAAATCACCAAATACCTGCCAAAGGATGCTCAGATAATCAATGAGAAAGGCAGAACAGAACAGAACTGGGTGCCGTCGGGATCTTGAACACTGTTGTTCATTTTTCTCATTCTTATTTATCTCACTGCTTAAAAAAATCAATTCTTTTTTTTTTTTTAAATGCCTGCCCTAAGTCAGAAACAGTAACTGTTGCTTCAAATACATTTTAATTTAATCTTCATAATATTCCTCTGAAGAAAGAAGAATGATTCCAATATTTACCTAATGAAAATAGAACTATTACTGGAATTGCTGTACAGAGACGCAGATTCCACTTTAAATCTACTCCAGATGGCTGAGTGACCTTGGCAAGCCTCACTTGGCCTCTGTCTGCAATGTGAGTGGCTGGCTGTGGATGACTGCTCACATTCCTTCCAGCTTAGAGAGTTTCTGTTCTCTGATTGCAACCCTTCTTAAAGGAAGCAAGGTGAGAAAAATGAAGAAGATCTGAGTATTGAGAACAAGAGAGGATTTGTTGTTTCAAACCCCAGTATCGCCATTATTTTACCTATTCGATGCTGGACAAGCAAACAATATAACTTTCCTTTGACCTTAGTTTTTCTTTTTTCTTTAGAAACATCTATGAGAAAATCTTCTAAAATTATTTGAAATAGCAATATTAAGTGTTTAGTAAACAATTAGCCTTATTTTTTTCTCAGAGTGGTGTGGTGGTTAGAGAAGAGACGTTGAAGCCTTTCTGCCTGGGTTCAGACAGTAATTCTACCACTAACTGTGTGATCTTAAGCAACGCATTGAACTTCCCTGTGTCTCGGTTTCCTTATCTGCAAAATAGGCAGAATAATAGAATTTTAAGTGCCATGTAAATATCAATCATTATTCAAAAGTTTTCCACATAGGTTTCTGTAGTGGGATCTATTTCCTTAAGAATGCTTAGTTTTACACATATCTCACTTTTGTGCTATGTGTGAGGCTGACAGACCTGGCACTAATCCAAATGATGCTTCTCATTTTGACTTAAGCATCCAGCATCATTTTTGCGTAACCCTCAGTCTCCTTCTGCTTTCATGAAGTCTCTGCCGCTTTGCTAAATTCTAGGTGCAATTTTCCATTCTGTTGCCTTCTAAATCTCGTGCTTTGGGGCTTCAGTTCTGGCTGTCTTGCACCACAAGTTCCTCCAACGACTTTTCTTTGTTTTCCAGGAGTGGCTGTGAGCACAACAGGAGTTCTGTGGTTTCCTGTGGTAGCAGCACTAAAGAATGGCTGGAAACTGCCTACCCTTGCAATGGCTTGGGTCACAGTAATTGATAGCTCCGTGAGCCCTATCTCTGTGGAGTTTGTACCTTGTGGCAAGCCTGGGGCACTTATACTTCTACTGTGGGGACATAGTGTCATGCAGCAACTCAAGGCAGTAGGTACCACACCGTTGGTTTCTAGCACGATGCTTACCATTCATTCATATGAACAATGAATGAATGAATGGATGGATAAACTCTTAAGAGTGGAATGACTATGGCAGATATGAAGTTCTCCTATAACTTAAATACCAGGACAAGATCTCTCTTAGAAATCCATTCATAACCTCAAAGTCCCCTTGCCTTTCATTCTACAATCTTTTTATTTCTTAAGGGTTTTCTAGGTTTTGCTCTTTGGAATAGAAAGTTTAGGTCATCCTTAGCACAGAGATTCTCAGCATACATAAATGACATGTATGCAGAGTTGCCACTTCTCCCATGGTGACATCCAAATTGTGATTCTGGTAGGACAAAAAACTATAAGAAGCCAGGACTAAATGGTGGCACCATCACACCATTCCCTCTGCACTGGCTTTAAGGCTGACATTGTCATATAGTGTATGTAAATAGTCTGTAGTCTAAATCCTAGGATGTTAAAGAGCAAAAGGAGGAGTTATTAATGAGTGCCCTGGAAGACAGGTCCCAGAGCATCTCACACAATGACATATGGCCACAATACATTACTTCTTACAAAGTTATTTAAAAACACAATTATTTGTTCAAATAATTACATGCCTAAAGGGTCCTCAAATCAAAGCAATCCAACAGTATCTACAAAACACAAGTCTTGCTCCATCTCTCATATCTATCTGCTCCTTTGTATCCTTACCTAACCCCGAGAGAGGCCACCTTTCCCTGTATGATTACTGTTTTTCTTTTGCAAAATTCAGAAGAGATGAATATTTCATCCTCCATTATTATTCATAGGCTCTTTAATGTATACTTTGCTTTATCCTTATTTTTCATTTTCTTAATTGGAAATATTAGAAATAATTCTCCTTCTCCTTCTCCTTCTCCTTCTCCTCCTCCTCCTCCTCCTCCTCCTCCTCCTTCTTCTTCTCCTTCTTCTCCTTCTTCTTCTCCTTCTCCTTCTCCTTCTTCAGACATTACCCCCCCTCGCATGAAAAAATAGCTCCATAGCACTCCATTGTGTTTAATTTAACTAATACTTCATGTAAGGAGTCTTGTTTTGCTTCTGGTCTTTGGCTATTAAAAACGATATTGTTAAGAATAACCTTGTATGTGTATAATTTCATACATATGTACATAGAAATTTCTAAAAGAGGAATTCCTGGATCATAGTGCACGTATAATTTGGGTAAATATTCTTCAAAAGCAATTATATAATTTAGTTCTTCCATCAAAAATGGATAAAAAGATACATTATATCTCATTGTAGTTTTAAATTTCAAATCTATCTTATGTGTGAGGTGGAAATTTTGTCTTATGTTGAAAAAAACTTATTTTTTGTGTAACTGATTTAATTTGAGAGTCAGCCTCACCTAGTCTGCATGGCAATACAGTAAATATCGTAGGAAAAGTACAGTGTTTTGTACATCTTACCCCAGGTCCTAGAATAAGGCCTGGAGCAAAAAAAAAAATTGAAAAATCATATTAAATAAATGAATGATTGTGATTTTCCCTGTTTCTCACATTATTTTATTGGTGCTTCATATCATTTTTAATCTTTAAGTTGTGTTATAAAATAATGTATTACATATAAATATAGCACATTAAAATGTTTACATGAATGCATTTCTAAAATCCCCTATAATCTTAATACTTGAAAAAAATTCACATCTATTGTTTTTTAATTTCTAATAAACATACATTATTTTTTCATATTTTAGCATGTCAAATCCTGCTTTTTTTCCCTAAAATTTTTAATATACATAATAGAAGATGTCATCTTGCTCCCAAATAATGAATGAATTACCTGATAGAGATATCAGGATTTTTTTTTCTTTTAGTACTGAAGATTGAACAGTATCTCTTATTTTGAGGGATTGTCTTGCTAAGCATCTGATAATGGCCTTGAACTTAAGCTCCTCCCACCTTACCCTCCCAAGTAGCTAAGATTACAGGTGTGCACCACCATGCCTGGCTAGGACTTGTTCTTTCTGCTTGTTTCATTCCTGACACAGAGTAAACACTGAGTTAAATACTCTTATAGGCAAGACATGAGAGGGACCAAGAACTTTCTCAACTACACCAGGAGCACACGTGGAAGCCTCAGTCCTTAAATACATATTTCTCTATAACTGATTCTGGAACATGTCTATGATTCTATGTCAGGAATTTATATTAGATTAATATTCTGCTGAGAGACATAGTGCATGGGAATTGTAGTCTAATCAGTTAATACCAAGCCATCCAAACATACAAATGTGGAATTACATCCAGATATATAAGTGATATGAAAAGTCTGTCTCAGACTTTCACACAAGAGAAAAGTACAAGTATAAAAGTTTATAGAGGAATAAAAGCAATATTAATGTGGCCACTCTGAGCACAGCCTAACCATTTATTTGAAGAGTCTAGAGAGATGGCTAACCTATGCAGATTCAGGAAATAAGGATAAAATCAAGGAGTGTCTTGGTGTTTGGGGCCATGAGAGAGACAGTCATGTAGTGAGTGTTGCTTGCAAGTATCTATCCCAGAGAATGGTTAGGTATTTCGTAGGAAGTGGGGTACAGGCTCAATGCTGATTAAGGCTGAATGAGAACCAGATTGTCAAAATACTTAAGAAAGACTCTTCTTATTCTGAAGTTACTTCTGCACTTCCACAAGCAAATACCCTCCTTTCTTTTGACTCAAAAACTTCCACCTCTTGCAAGAAGCTTTTCCAGTTTAATCTCAAGACATGCAATATTTTCATTCCATTTAATAGGATGTACTTGTTAATCTTTTATAGTTACCTTCTTGCCTTAAATGTATTCAGCGACTGCCTTATGCCCATCTGCCTCTAAAATTTTTTAAAAAATTGGATCTGTAAATGATTCAGATACCTAATTCTAATAGATAAATGCCATTATTCTATTATTTATCTGAACTTTCTATTCATTCAAGTATGCATTGAGAGATGGTACCCAGCTGAGATCAAAGCTCACATGTTAATCCAAGATTTTTGATGAGAATATTGAGAATTATGGATATTGAAAATATAGATATAAGTGATTGTGAAACTGTAGCTTATTCTCACGAGGTCTTCCAGGATAAAAATAATGATGGTGGTCGAAAAAGTAATGGTAGCAATCTTGCTGATGGAGACTTTAAACACTGCAATTAGAACAGTGTTTTAACTATTCAATAAGCAATGATCAGAACAATGAATAAACGATGTGAACTCAGTGGAGGTGGGTGCTGATAAGAAGATGAAGATAGAGATGATCAGCACAAAAGTAATGGTGGCACCTAAGGAGTTAATTGTGCAGGGAGATTAGTAGTGTTGGCTGAGAAATCTCCTTGCAAAGAAAAACTTTAAGAAGATGAAATCGTTTCTGGGGTGTCCAAGGTGTTATTCTCCCTACATGCACAGGGATATCAAGTTGGATTTTCCTCTTTAATGAAAAGCTTGATGATGACTGCAAAGCTTCTAGTGGCCCAGAAGAGGCCATGTCCCTGGGATTAAATTCCAGAATCCAAAAATGAGAACTGCGAAGCTGAAACAAGTCATTGGAGAAATAGAGTTCATCTCTGTCATTTCTCTGTGCCCAACTTCCGGCCCCAGAGGGACCAATACTGAGAGGTAGCCTTAGCAACTGCAGGGAGCCCCTGGGAGACCCACATTTCCAGGAACATGAAATATAATGAGGGAAGCATTGGGGTAGAGAGGATGCTAAGGAGCATGCAACAAGTTATATTGTTATTAAAACAGTCAGGTAATGGGCAATGGAGGTGCAGATGATACGAGCATATCTGAAGAAGAGAACTAGCGGGTGGTTTTAACCTTTTCCAAATATGGTCTGTTAAAGTGTGGGAGTAAGACTCCAGGGATATTGACGCAGAGCACACATCTCCATGCTAACCTGATAAGCATTTTTCAACGACTTCAGAGAATCACAGACCTAACGGGTTATAAAGGGCTTTATAAATCCCTATTTAAACTTCTTCATTTTAAAGGAAGTTGAATAAAGAGGGGAGAAATGGTCAGGCCCAATATTCATTCTGAGTCAGTGGCAGAACAAGTTTGGAAAAACAATTCCAAAAAGAATGCTTGCTTTGTTTCAGCCCTTCTTGGCCTACATCATATGGGTCTTACCTCATCAATTCTCTGCTCTTCCTATCCCCTTTAGAATTCCCGATGCATGTGTCCTTTGAGATCCTTCCTTAAAATATAGTCTGTCTGCCCATTGATTCTTCATCCTGTTCTGCAGTTCTGAACTTGAAATGATCCCACAGACTCCTATTTCTTTCTTTCCCATCTCCTCCTCCTTCAGCCTTTTCTTATTTGGTGGGGGGTGGGTGGGTACCGGGGATTGAACTCAGGGGCACTTGACCACTGAGCCACATCCCCAGCCCTATTTTGCATTTCATTTAGGCACAGGGTCTCACTGAATTGCTTAGCGTTGTGCTTTTGCTTTGAACTTCTTCCTGCCTCAGCCTCTCGAGCTGCTGGGATTACAGGCGTGCACCACCACACTCAGCTTCCTTCAGCCTTAATGAGAACATAGTTGAGTTCTAGAGAGACTCCCCACCAAAAAGCCTTAGCAATGACATCTTACGAAGTATGTGTCTCCTTCCCCCAGTTCAGTGTGACCAGTTGTTGGCTATAGCATATAGAATGGGTGGATATCTTAAAGAATCTTGGTAATTTTCATTAAGGACTCTAGGATGAAAAGCAAGAGAATTTTCCTCTCTCTCTCTCTCTCTCTCTCTCTCCCTCTCCATCTCCTTCTCCCTCTCCCTCTCTCTTTTCTTGGTAGAGAATGTGGGAGAAAATCCTGGGGCAGAGACTCTGGTGCCCTAGTTCTTCAAAAGGACAAGTGCTGAACTGTGCATCAAGGGACCCAAACTCCACTCATACTGTTAGCAAGGGATATTGAGTGAGTTTTTCTATTTCTAGCATTCAGTTTCTCTTTTACAAAGTTGGAAATTGTTTTGATAATATGTAAATTATTTTTCTGTACATATATTCTATTTTTGAGGTTCTGAAGAAATTTCTCAAAAGGAAGAATCCTAAAGTCCTACATCTTCTACCCTTTACCCCTCATTCCGAGAATCATGGATCATCTCAACCTGACTTGGACCCAGACTTTCATCCTTGACGGTTTTACTACCACTGCGACACTACGACCTCTTGCTTTCTTGGGGACCCTATGCATTTACCTCCTCACCCTTGCAGGGAACTTGTTCATCATTGTCCTGGTTCTCACTGATTCTGGACTGTCCACACCCATGTACTTCTTCATCAGTGTCCTCTCTTTCCTGGAACTCTGGTATGTCAGCACCACGGTGCCCACACTGCTGCACACCTGGCTCCACGGGCGCTCACCCATCCCGTTGGTCGCCTGCTTCCTCCAGCTGTATGTCTTCCATTCCTTGGGCATGACTGAGTGTTACCTGTTGGGAGTCATGGCGCTGGACCGCTACTTAGCCATCTGCCGCCCACTGCACTACCAGGCACTCATGAGCAGACAGGTACAGCTGTGGCTAGCAGGGGCCACCTGGGTGGCTGGCTTCTCAGCTGCGCTTGTGCCAGCCAGCCTCACTGGCACTCTGCCCTACTGCCTGAAGGAGGTAGCCCATTACTTTTGTGACCTGGCTCCACTAATGCGGTTGGCGTGTGTGGACACCAGCTGGCACACTCGGGTCTATATTACAGTGATTGGCATGATCAACACATGTGATCTTGTTATCATTTTAGGACTCTATGGGGGCATCCTGAGGGCTGTGCTGAAGCTGCCCTCTGCTGCCAGTCGTGCCAAGGCCTTCTCCACCTGCTCCTCCCATATTATTGTGGTAATGCTCTTCTTTGGATCTGCCTTCTTTGTGTATGTTGGGCCACCTGAGATCCGAGCTGAGGGCAGAGATAAACTCATTGCCTTGGTGTACACTTTTCTTACCCCTTTTCTTAACCCTATCATTTATGCTCTTCGTAACAAGGAGGTGAAAGAGGCTGTTAGGAGGGTCATCCAGAGGATGAGGACTGTATTGAAGACACCCTGAGGTCCTTTAAGGTTATGGTTCATCCATTTGGTAATTGTAGGATTTAATTGATTAGCCAAGGAAACCAATTTATTATTCAAATACTCTGTGAAATGTACAATTAAAATGGACTGATTCTTGGATTAGGGCAAATTGAGAAATATAGAGGGAGGAGAAACATAGTCCCTGGATCTACTAATAGGGGAGAAAGACCACATAAGTGAAGAAATAGCAAAACCAATAATTAGAAAGAAACACAAATTTCTAGGTAGACAGAGTTTGGGTTTGTGCTGAGAAAATTTGAAGAACCGACATTGACTCTGTGGTTGTAATTAAGACTGGATACTTAGGATCAAGAAGGTTGTAAGTGAGATTAACTAAAAGAAACATATAAGGACACCTGGGATAAATGTTCAGAAATGGACTGAACATGAAAAGAGTGCCCACAAGAATATGAAGTCGAGTGTTCTCTGGTGATCTCATAGGAAAAGACGTTTTCAGGTGGAGAAGAGAATTTGTCTAACAGGACACTGAAGACAAAGATGCTCAGTATATTGGTGGTCTGAACTGAGCTATAGATATCCATCTTGTACTTTGAATTTGAAATAAGTACGTCAACCAGGAAATATCATCAATGGAGTCCCCTGTGTGCAAAAATTGCTCGAGGAACCAAGAGAATATGTTAAAAAAAAACAAAAAAACAGGAACACTTTCTGTTTTCAAGGAGCTGATCATCACTGTGTTTTAAGGAAGCAATTGTCTCACTCTTTCTCTCTCCAATCTCCCACTTTCTTCCCTACACACACACACACAGACACACACACACCCCAGTAAGCAACAGTCGCAACACGTTGCCTAACACCAGGAAATAAACTTAAATTTTACTCTATGCTTATCTGCAATAACAGGTATTGGCTGGAAGGGAATGAGGGGGAGAAAAGTGAGTCTCACAGTTTTACTCAGACATTTTCCTCAAATTTTGGAATCCTCAAACCCTGAGCATCCAGGTGATACTTGTCTGAAGGGTCTCTTCAGACCAGAGGTAGCTTTGAAAGATCTTCCTAAGATTGTCCCGGGATAACATGACTATAACCCTACTGAAAATACAACACGAAAAAAACCAAACAAACAAATAAAACCCTCATTTCAGGTAAAAACTATACAGTACTTTTTCTTCTTTGCCACCTTTTTTAGTGATGGTGAGTAGGTCTGTGTTTCCTATTTTTGAAAAAGTTCTCAATTTGAGTTTTTTTCTGTCATCTAGCCCAACTATGGACTACGTGGGTCCTATATAATGTGAAACAAATTTCAATATTATAAAATAATAAAAAGCAATCTTGTGGAGAGATAAACAGTAATAGTAGATGGGAAAACTAACTGGGATTCTTTCCTTTCCCACATGAAAGCAGTTTTTTCTTTTGTGGTGAGAAGAGGCTCCGTTCAAGTCTCAGGTTAAACCAACACATTACTTTTGAAGTTTCCCTTTGAGCAAACTCCATAGTTACTGAATGCCACCAGGAAGTCACTGAATCATTAAATTTTTTATTTGGACAGCATTTAAGATGTTGACTCATTTAACCATCTGACTCAAACGGCTCCATAACTGCATAATAGAAAACTAAGGTAAGAGGTAGGAAGTAACAACAGTTCCTCAGCAATTTCAAAACAGACTGGGAATGGAGTAGCAACCAGGTTTTCTACCCGCTTTCTTTTGTTATGGTTTGGATATCACGTGAGCCTCAAAAAGTTCACTTTAGGCAATGTGGCAGTGTTCAGAGGCAAAAGGGTTAGGTTATGAGAGCTGCAATCCCATCCCACTTGATGGACTAATGATGCGAACAGATTACTGGGTGGTAACTGTAGGCAGGTCAGGCCCAGCTGGAGGAAGTAGGCCACGGGGGGCAAGCCCTAGGGGATTTTATTTTGTATTTTTTCTTTTTCTGGGGGGAGGAGGGAGATTATATCTTTGAGTTGTTAATGGACCTTTCCTTTATTTATTTATATGTAGCACTGAGAATTGAACCAGTGCCTTACACATGCTAGGCAAGCACTTCACCACTGAGCCACAACCCCACCCCTATCTCCGCTTCTTGACTGCCCAGAGGTGAGCAGTTTTTTTTTACTAGACTCCTCCACCATGATGGGCTGTTTCTCCTCAGGCCCAGAGCAATGGAACCAGAGGGCCATGAACCAAAGCTCTGAAATGGTGAGCCCCAAAGAAGCGGTTCCTCCTCTAAGTTGTTCTTCTAGTCACATTAACAAGACGAAACAAAGAAACACACACATATCATTATAATATGTGGTCTCAATTGTGTTTTCTTCTTTCTTCCTCCAGAGGCAGAAAGCTTGTGACACTGAGCACCACAGAGCAGCAGTGGGAGGAGTGAATTCCAGGAGTCAGAGACTTCCCTGGGGGGTCTATCATCCCCTGCTTTTGCCTGATTTCATGATGCCTGCTGACATGGGGATCCCTGACTACACAGGCATACACTTATAATTGAAGATTACACGTTCGGTTTCTCATTAAATCTCCCACAGCAGGAAAATGGACAAATGCCTTTGCAAAATCAGTTAGTAGGTAAATACTGAACTCATCCAAAACATTTCAGTCTACTGAGAAAGAGGAAAGAAGGAGAACATTTTTTAAAACCAGAGGATCGAACCATGCTGACCAAGGCTTGACTCTCCCTACCACCCCCCAGACAATTGTTTTGTTAATGTGGGTTTTACAGAACCTATATGAATCCAGAATCAGAATACATCTATCTTTCACTTAATCTTTTACTTAAATGTAGGCTATTAAAGAAAATTTCTTCTGAACATAATTTGTTTGATCCTGTGGAGTAATTATTGAAAAGGTATTTTGCTGTCTACAGTCATGAAAGTCTAAAATTAATGCCAATGTATTATAGATCACGGATTTAGTTCTTTAACTCACTTATTAAACAAGTTGCAAAACTTTCTTCAAATACAAGGATATTGATTAGTTGTGGAATAAATAAGGCCCAACAAATCACCTGAAATCGTCTCAGGTAAAACTTAACTATGAACAAAAATTTTTATTTTAAGGAGACTGTGCAATTCAGATTTGCTAAATTAGAAACTTTCAAGTGGCTGATATATTTACTATTATTATTATTATTATTAGGGGGATGAACGCTGGGGTGCTTTACCACTGAGTTACATCTCCAGTCCATTTTATTTTTTTGTTTTGTGAAAGGGTCTCACTAAATTGTTGAGTCTGGCTTCAATCTTGTGATCCTTCTTCCTCAACCTTCCAAGTAGCTGGGATTACAGGTGTGTGCCACCAAGCTCAGCTAGCAATCTGTGCTTTGATATGCTCCGAGACGATTTAGATGTAGTCATGAACCGGCTGGGGATGTGCCTAATCAGACTGGTGAGACTGGAAGAAGAAATTGCACATGCAAAGCCCAGTTATTGGTTTTGCTCTGCCTAGGAGCCATCCAACCCTGGCTGCGTGCATTACTCCATCTTGCCACAGCAAGAACAGAACGTCTTTGGTTTTCAGTACTGCATAGTAATTGGGTGGAAGAAACAAAAGGAAAAATAATATGCCTATTCTCATAGTAATGTTTGAAATACCTCCACTGAGTAGTTAAAATATCAGGCAGATAAATCATAAGTAAAAAGATAAAATATTTGAGGGCAATAATTAACCAGACCCACCTAACAGAAGTATACAGAATACAGATCTACATCAAGCACAAGTGAAATTAAATGGTAGGCCATAAAACGAGTCTCAACCCAGTCAAGCGAATTAATAATATTAATTTTATGTAGATCCTTGCTTCAAATAATGGCATAATTAAATTGAGACTAAAAACTAAATAATAAACTTAACATGTCTATTCTCTTGATATTTAAAAAAAAATCTTCTCTGTTCCTGGAAATAAGAAAGTCCTGACAATACTAATAAAAATAAAAGGGAGAGATGAGTAAAAAAAAATTAAACAGATTAAGAATTAAAATTGGTTAAAGCTGCAGCAAAATTTGAAATTATTAACAATGTATGAAAATTAATTAAATATTTTAATTGGCTAAATTAACTTCAAGAAAAATTGAACACTAGCAATATTAACTTCAGGAGAAATACAAAAATCTTATAATACTGAATTGGAAGTTAAAAATATAACTAGAAAGAATCAAATCCAGATCATGTAACAAATGAGTGCTACAAATATTAAAGAAAGACAATCTGTAGTTTTACACAAATTCTTCAGGGAGCAGAAACACAACTCAATATGTGTTTTTTAGAAATCTTGCCTACCACTAATTTCAAAGTGAACAAAACCACTAATATCAAAAAAGAATTAATTCACTAACAAATACAAAAATTTCTTGCTGCAAGTATTATACTCCTAATCAATTAAAATAATTTGAATTAAATGATTATGATTGAGTTTGATTTATCTCAGGAATATAAGGTTGACTCAATATAAAACTCAATAATTTATCACACTAACAATAGGGAAAAAGTTATCTCATTTGATGCAGGAACAAGAAAATATTCAATATTCATTCATAATTGAAACATAAGAAACCACAACAAAACTTATCGTCCATGTCCAGTGTGGGCAAGGGAATGGGTTTCCTTCAGCAGGAGGGGCTGGCTAAGAAATTAAAACTAAGAAAAGTAGAATTGAAATGATCACAGAACACAGAGAGGTAGTTTCAAAGAGGGGGCAGAGACCAGCAAAGCTGACCAACAGGTCCAGCTTCTAACAAGGAAAGGAGTCCGATGGCTTTTTTTAAATATCGGAAAACATCAAAGGCTTTTGATAGAAAGTTCTTCACCAAATCAGGATAGAGATGGGGGCAGGTAGGCTGCTCAGTTACGCCCATCTCCAGTTCTGGCAGAGTGGAGGGGCAGTCCACTTGCACTGGGCCATCTATCTCAGTGGGAGTGACATGAGAAGTTCCTAGTGCCAGATCTACCCTCTCACTGGCTATGATGCTGAAAAATGTCCTCACGCGTTTCACCGATAGCTTCCCACAAAACTACAAATAGAAACTTCTTTATTCTGATAAAGAGCATCTTTTAAATCATGTAACAGACCTAAGAGAAAAGTGTGAAAAAATTTTCCTTGAAGATCAAAAACAGAACAAGATTAATGGCTAATATAACTTCTATTTAATATTGTGCAGGATATACTAACTAGTGTAGCAAATAAAAAAGAAAAAGAAAGAAAAAATTAATTATGGATGTTGTTCTTATTTTTATTGAAACATACATAATCACAAATAAACTAGAATTCAGAATGGTGGGCAACAGTGATACAATGCAATAGTAAAAAATGAAGCTAATCGTATTATTGAAAAACAGTAACAATCAGAAAATGCAAATAAAGAGACAGAATTTTTAATAGAGACCACATATGTGTGTGTGTGTGTGTGTATCCTAAGAGAAGTTCAAGACTTTTTTTGGAAAATAATACATTTATATTTAAAGTTATTTCCACTTTCATAAATAGTGTGATAGAGCACATTCATGGATGGGGAAATTTATATCAGAAAAAAGTTATTTTCTCTAACCTATTGATGAAATAAAATCTGATATGAAATCCTGAAAATGTATTTGTGGAAATTTGATAAACTTTTTCCAAAGTCAAGCCTCTTCATGACATTTAAGAAGATAGAAAAGGAGAAAAGGTGGTATATGGTAGTGATAGGTATTTCCACCAACCCTCAAGTGATTGAGACTTATAAGATTATGTTAGTCTCAGTGGCATACGAGGGTGATAATATAAGAAGACATTATAAATTAAGCTTTGGTTTACATGGTACAATGCTATCTTGAATCTGAAGTTTTCCTCTAATAGCTTTTCAGAAAGAGAACTAAAATGGGCCATGTGGAAGGGTATTGAATCTAAACAAGAAGCTTAAAAGTATTCAGAATTTGAATATTTCAGCAGAAGATCATAAGGTGCCTCTTACAGTTAATAAAAAGCTCCACATTGGGTTCAGCTTAAAAATTGTCAGAGCGTTTTAAATTTTTTTCAAGGTTGCTATAAAGTCGAGTTGAAGTAAGACAATAAAATGTAACCATGGCTTTCAAAATTAAAATCTCTTCTGAATGTTTATGACTTTTCTCTTGTAAAGCAAAAGCTAAATTGTTTTTCTCTGATGGGGAAGCATCAAA